ACCGTTATCGATGAAAGGTGCAAGAGTCGTCAGTTTGTTTGACATAGGTTGAGACTTACCTTTCAATAGTAATGGTAACTCTTGTGCAAAGTATGTTCTTTGCTCTTGCCTCACCAATACGTTATGCGCATGCTGCAGCTCGTTGGTTGAAATCCCGGTAGCTGTTTTCGGTTGCTTGGAGCTACCAGTTTTGCAGTTATGTACAAAGCGTAAAAGATGCATGTGTTTTGAATACCTCTCAAAAAACCTTTCCACCTTTCGTTCTTCCATGCTGACATTCGGTGACGCAGATGGCTTCTCGGTATGTGTCGTTGATTTATGTATCAGCACGTCAGGTCCTTGCCACCATATTTTACAAGTTACAAGTTCTGCAAGCCAAATTCCCCTTGTAGCAAGGTCTGCCGTATTGTGTTGTGACGGTATATGACGCCATTGCTCAGCTGGTATGACATCTATTATTTGGGAAGTTATATTTGCAATGAAGATTTTCCAGCGGCGAGGATGATCTGCCAACCACGCCAAAACAATTGACCAACCTGTCCAACCAACCACGTCAACTACTTCGAAACTTAAAGATTGTCGTACTTTGATTATTAACTTCACCAACAGGTGTGAAGCGCACAACTCAAGCCGCGGTAACGTGATTTGCTTTACCGGGGCTACCCTGGTTTTAGCCGCAATTAAGTGGGTGAACACCTCGCTATCCCTCCGCTGTATCCGTATATAAACCGCTGCTGCAAATGCTACTTCGGACGCGTCCGAGAACCCATGCAACTCAACAATGCTGTCATCAGTGAAATCAAGCCACTTTGGTTTACGAAGTTTTGAAATTCTGTTGATGTTCTGCCTGTAATCATACGATTCGCTGTATAGCTCACGTGGTAGCTCTTCATCCCAACTTACGCCCTTTAGCCATAATTTTTGCATACAAATCTTAATTTTAATAACGATCGGAACAATCCATCCGATTGGGTCGAATATTCTGGCGATATCCGATAGTACTTTACGTTTTGTCACGTTTAATGTGATGTCTTCAAGGGCCACGTTGTACTTGAAGCTATCTGTTGAAGTCTCCCAAAGCCAACCAAGTGTTTTTACGGCGCTTGTGGTGTCGATAATTGTATCAGGAGATTTTTCACAATCGGATATGTCAATTGTACCCAAGAACCTTCTCGAATTTGACGACCACTTACGTAGCTTGAATCCTGCCTCGGATAATACTGAACACACGTCGTTTTTTAGCTTCACTGTTCCTACTGACGTAGGAGCACATGCCAAGAAATCATCTAAATAAAATTTTTTCGATATTGCAGATGCTACGTCAGGATATTCATCAGAGTAGTCATATGCCACTTGCTGCAGTGTCCTAATCGCTAAGAAAGGTGCAGCTGCCGTGCCATACTTTACGGTGCGAAGATCGTAAGCAGTAGGTTCTTCCTCCGTGGAACGTCTCCACAATATTCGCTGCAAAGGCCGGTCATCTGGATGTACCAATACCTGTCGGTACATTTTCTCAATATCGCCGGCAATCCAGCCTTGTATTTCCTGAATTTGGTTATGATCTCGAATAGATCATTTTGTATTGTTGGACCGATTAACAAGTTATCGTTCAGTGACAATCCATTTGAACTCTTGCAGGATGCGTCGAACACTACCCGTA